GAGTGGATATATTGTGTAAATTCAATCATGAAGGAGATGAAATTTGTTTTTTTCTTTAAACTTTTGCTTTTGTGTTAATGAAACTTGGCCTGAATGATTAAAGGATTAATAACAAATTCCTTTGAAGTCAATTTTGTATTTTGTTGAAAGCCAAACGGAACATGTTTCCAGAATAAATGAAAGTTTGGAAATATTTTCGAGTCAATATGATGACAAAATTAATGCCAGAATAGTTTTCATAAAAAAACATCTTTGTTGGTTTTAAAACGGGTTTTATCTCTTTGTCTCATAGATCTATGCGCCGGATGCTCCGCGCATGCGCACATGCTAAAAAGCGATTTGCACAACGGTGTAACAGTAAAGATGGCGGGAGCCTCCGACCCGCTGGAGGACGTGCTCTCCGACGAGGTGGACCAGAAAGCGGTTAGCGACCTGGTCGGCTCCCTGGAGTCCCAGCTAGGCGACAGAAAGACTCCCGCGGCCTCTTATTCCGACGGGAAGCGGGACCCAGCGGCGGCCGCTGCGGGACACCTCTCAGGAAAAGTGCGAGATCAAGTGGGGTCCGCGGAGCCGCCGCAACAAGGGCATCCAAAAGCGGGGTCGACCCAGGAGCCCGGCGTCAACGACCCGCTGTCCGGCCAGTCTCTCCCCTCCTCGGCCTCTTCAGGACCCACCGGGACCGTAAGAACCGTCGGAACCAGTCTGCAGGCGGCGGGAGCCTCTGCTCTGACCGCTCCGCCTGGACCGGGACCCGTAACTTTGAGCACTCAGCCCCCCGCTAGCTTCCACCGGGCGGCCGTCCTGTGTCCGAGCGCGGCTCCCAGCTCCGCGGAGGCGACCCGGACCTCCTCTCCTGGATCCCAGGGCTTGAACGGCAGCACCGGAGCCGGTGTCCCCCCGCCGCCCAGCGGGGTCAGCTCCGTCATCAGCGCCGGGGGCTCCGCTGTGGTCGGGTCCATGGCTTCACAGCCCGGATCCCCCGCTGTGACCCTGCCGGGTCACCCCAGCCCGGTGCCCGGCGCCCAGAACGGGCTGGAGCCCAAAGCGGTCCCCTCCCCGTCCGCCTCAGCCCCTCAGGTCCTGAACCACAGCACCCCTCTGATGCACGCCAAGATGCTGGTGACCGGGCAGACCCCCGCCGGGACCCCCGTCATCCTGACCAGCACCCCCCCTCCTCCTGCAGCCCAGTCCTCCATCATCCAGACCCAGACTGGGACCAGCCCCGGGGCCAAGCCCGTCATCAACGGGGTGGCTCAGCCCACCGTGGCCGTGGTCAGACCACCTGGTGCCCCTGTCGGGGGTCCCACCTCCATCCAGCAGCAGAGTCCCGGGCTGGTGGCCGGTACGACCCGGGCACCCACCCCCCAACCCGGGCTGACGGTCCGGCCCCAGCAGCAGACCACCATCCAGCTGCCCCCTGGCTTCACCATTCCTCCAGGTGAGCATGTGGATCAGACCAAACCAGACCCCCACAGAATCCGGTCCGGACTGTTGGACTTGTTGACAGTCTGCAGAGTTGTAAAGTAACTAAGTACAAATACTTTGTACTTAAGTAGAGTTTTTGTGTACCTGTACTTTACTTCAGTAATTATTTTTCAGCGTACTTTTTACTTCTACATTTAAAAAAGACAAGAAGTACAAAGTTGTTACTTTTATTTCATTTCTGCTTGTTTTCATTGCAGCTTGTTGTT